TTGGGATGCATCCATAAGGCTAAGCAATTCGCAACCTGCGGTAGAGTCGACCAACTGGTCGATCCTAGGCAATGGGTACAAATCTTTCGGACACGCCTTGTTTAAGTCACGAAAATCAATACACATCCTCCACTTCCCCCAAGACTTAGACACCATCACCGTGTTCGACAACCATTCAGGGAACTGGATCTCTTTAACATGGCCGGCCTTCAGCAACTTCTCAACCTCCTCCTCGATCACCTTATCCATCTCCGCGCCATGGTGTCGTCTTTTTTGTTTCACTGGTCTCACCGTTAAGTCGATGTTCAAACGGTGTTCTATCACCTCCGCCTTTATCCCTGTCAACTCCTCAGCCGTATACGCGAAAACATCCGCGAACTCTCTGATCAGCGCAATCAACTTCGATCTCATGGGCTCCTCCATCTCCTTACCTATCCGAAATTTCCTCTCTTCGCACCCTTCTACCATCTGGACCTCCTCAATCTCCCCTCCTGGCTGCATCTCCACCTTTTCTTTCCCCTTGTCCGCTCTTTCCTTCTCTTCTCTCGACCTCGAGCCCCCAGGTCGGCTCGGTACTTCCTCCTCCAGCTTCGCTCGCTTCCTCGAGAGCTGCTTATTATTGCTCACCGTGGTCTGGTAGCAACTCCTCGAGGTAAGCTGATCTCCTGCGACCTCACCAATGTTTTCCCCCACCGGATATTTGATCGTCATGTGGTACGTCGACACGACCGCTTGGAAAGCATTTAAGCTAGTCCTTCCCATAATAATGTTGTACGAGGATTCCGCTCCAACGACCACAAACCTTACCATTCGCACCTTCCTCGTCAGCCCTTGCCCTAAGGCAACAGAGAGGCTTACCTCTCCCATCGGCATCACCTCGCCTCCGTTGAATCCATATAAGGCTGTGGTCACCGGCTTCAGGTCAAGATTGAGCTCCTTGTTTATCTGCACAAAACAATCATAAGACATCACATCAACCGAACTCCCCGTATCAATAAACACCCTCTTTACGTCGAAACCCGCCACTTCCGCCGTTATCACCAGCGCATCATTGTGGGGCAACACTACTCCCTCTGCATCTTCCGCCCGAAAACTTATCTCCGGCATTCGAGCAGTGATCCCCACCTCCTATCTCTTCCTCTTCATTGCTCGAACATGACCTTTCCTTGCATTGTTCGAGTCCCCATCTGTTGGTCCCCCCGAGATCATGTAAATCGTTCCTCTTTTCACCGGGCCTTGATCTCCCTGGCCTCCTCGATCTTGACTTCCTCGTCTCCTCTTGACTCCTCGATCACCCCTTCCATCTCGAGGATCACCTTCTTCATCATCATCTCGATCACTCCGCTCCACCGAATCCTCTCGACACTTCCCTTTATCCTTCCCATTCGCCTTCCCTTCGCACACGAACTCCTTCAGATACCCTGCCCTGATCAGGCGCTCGATCTCATCCTTGAGGTGTCTGCACTCCTCCGTTTTGTGCCCATAATCTTTATGAAAACGGCAATACTTGTTCGACCTGGGCTGTGTCGGCCCCTCACGCCTCGACTTCGGCCACGTCACATCCCTGTCCCCTATCTTCCTCTCAATGGCCACCAGCACCTCGCCCATCCGCGCATTAAGGGGCGTAAAGTGTTGAAACCGCTTTCCCCCCAGTACTGGTCGATCCTTCCACCTGTCTTCTCGCCCTCGATCAGTCCGGCCACGCCCCTCTCTTCTAGGTGATCTCCGACCCGGTGATACTCTTCGAGGCGAGCTTACCCTCCCCTTCTTTGGCTCAGGCTTAGCCAACTCTTCCAACTTAGCAAACTCAGCCTCCGTTTCCTCCAAATTAATGTACTTCTTACACCTTTTTAGCACATCATCATACGTACGAGCAGGGGTTTTAGCTAAAGATGTGCGACAAGGCCCTGCTCGCAAACTCCGTATCAACCCTCCAGCCTTCACCTCGTCCGAGGTCGTGGGGATCTCCAAACAAGTTTGATTGTATCGCGCGACATACTTACGCAATGATTCCTTCTCCCCTTGCCTCATAGCCATCAACGTTAGATACGTCTTTTCCTGTGCCACCGCACTCGCATATTGGGTCATCAGCTTTTCCGCGAAATCATCAAAGTCCTTGATCGATCCATGAGGGAGTTGCTGAAACCAGTCGAGCGCGCCTCCCCTCAAGGTTGACAGGAATGCCCTGCAGCTAACCGAGTCAGAATAACCATACAACACAGCCAAATTCTCAAACGCCCTTACATGCCTCGACGGGTCAGTGGTCCCATCGAACATCAAACTCATGTCTCTAAAATTCGCGGGTAATGGAGCAGCCAATATATCCCTCGAGAACGGGTGTCCTCGAGCACGTCTTTCAGGTCGACCATCTATCTTAGCCTGCATCTGCCTCACCTGCTCCGCGAGCCGCTCCACCTCACGATCTCTTAGGGCCCCATCTCCACCATAGCTCGACACGTCCTCATCCACCATCGTTGGCCCAGCAGCCACTCGCGAAAGGCTTTGAGTGACCTGCTGAACCGCTTGTGCCGCCGCGTTCGCCACCATCTGCTGCATCTCCTGCCTTGTCATCACCACCTGCTGGCCGGGACGCTGTTCCTCCATCGGCAGCGGTACCGCTCCTTGTACCGCCGCTCCTCGCTGCAGCGTTGCAGCCAGATCTGGTTGCGGCAGCGTTGGGGCCGCCGCGCCTTGAGCTGTGCGGGTCTCCTGGGCCCGATTTGAACCCACATTAGCCTCTGGTTGCACCGACGTGACTTCTACACCTTGGGGAACAGGCGTCGGAGTCACCGGTGTACGCAAGGGTCCAGAGAAGCCCGAAGGTGGGCCATCTCCGAACGGCCTCGTCATCGCACACGCCTCATCGAACGATGTCTGTAAATCTCTCCTAGGAATTCCGTCCGCCATAGCTACCAAGCTTCAAAAATCTCAGCACACCACTTTTCGAACGAAAGTCCCACAGACGGCGCCAAATGGTAACGCAAAACACTCCAACCGGCTTGAAATCGGTTTGCCTCCTTCTTCCTAGCCGACAGAACGCCGCGCTCCTGCACAAAACTCTCACACCGGAGGGGTTTTCCGGTGAAGAGCCTCCGATGCTTAAGTCAGTATATGTTTGTTCAATTTTCCAAAGTAAAGAATGGATAAATCGTAAACCCTAAAAAAAAAGACCAACTCCTCTATATATAGGAGTGAGATACCTGCCCTAGGAGCTGCCCGGATATTTGGTGAGCTGTCCTGCCCGTGCTGCCCGTCCGTACACACGCAGTACGTGTATTGTCAGAAATGTCAGGGACGTCAGAGGTGGTTATTGCCACTATTACTCTGCACCACTAGGTTCTCGCCACGTGTCCCCTTTTGAGCTGAGGGGAAATATTCCTTTGCGTGGGCCGTTGGGATCCCTGGATATCACCCACGCGCCTACTCACGTTCAGGTCACGCTCTCGACTGCCTCCTTCCCGCTACGTGCTCGATATGATCGAGCTCCCCCTCGCTAGGTCGATCCTCGACCAACCCTGCCATTCTGCTCGATCTCTTCTGCTTTGGTCGATCATCCTTCAACCCACGTGGTTTTCTTCCAACTTATGCCGGTTTGACCGACGTGATGGGCCGGTCTGTTCTTTAGTCATATGATATCCCATATCATCTAGTCTCCCCCACTCTGGTCGAGTCTGAATGACTCGATCTAAGAGTGAGTCCGAGCTATCTTCTTCGTTCTACGTATTTTTTCCGATTATTTTTGTCGGTGTCGCCTTCTAGTCTCCTCTCTCGATCACTCTAGTTGATGTTGTTACCTTTCCTCGACCACATGGTTTCTTTTATTGCCTGCTATGATCGCTTTCCATCTCTCTTTATTATTAGCGCGATTTCCGCCTGCCACTTGTCCTCCTTCTCTATACCTTTAATCATCACGTCTTCTCGCGATTTGTGCCGCTCCGATATCTACGCCTCTTTAATTATTTCCGCCCTCTTTAATTATTTCCGCCGTTGGATCTTCCTTTATCTAACGGTCCTATTCTCCCAACTCTTCACCTTATTCAATTGTACTCCTATAAATATGATACTTAGTCATTTTTGCAGCTTTTCTCACCTTTGCAATTTTGAATCTCCTTTGCACTCCGCACTCTCTTTCTGCAGACTGCTCTCGCCTGCTCTCAACGCCTGTTCAAGCACTTTCCGGCAACCACTTCTCCACCACGACCATGAGTAAGTCTCCTGTGCTCCAATTTTATATTTACGCGTGTTTATCTTGTCAATTTTTCGATTTTCCTGTTACTTCTTCCTTTTCCCCAATTCTTCTCGCTTCGCCTGCGGCCAAAAGACCCACCTTTCTTGCTTTTCGAAACCCTAATTCTTCTTCTTTTCCCTCAATTTTTTGTTCTACTTTTTCAGATTCCGCCGATTCTAAAGCATCGAGCCGTCAGTTCAGTGAGGATGAGACAAGCGCGTCGTCTTTCCCTCTTCGCCAGCCTGTCCCTCACTCACCCTCTCGCTCTGTTGAGGAAATCTACAATCCCGTTCCCATCAGCATTTTACGCCCTTCCGACCACGCCACACCTTCTAACAAAATCGGAACATTTTATCAACAAAATCGGGACATTTTTTTAACAAAATCAGCATCTTTTGTAAGTTGATAAAAATCACTTAATTTTTTTAACAAAATCCGCAATTATAGTCATTATAACTGACCGAGCCAATATGGAACAAAATTTAAACAAACGTACTATTTTGTAGGTGATTAAGAGTAAACTTAAATTAGCAAGTCAAAGCATTATTTTTTTAAGTCAACCTTACTATTTTTGTATTTTTCCATCAACCTCTTTATATTATTATAGATTATAGATTATAGATTATAGATTATAGATATAGATATGATATATTAAAAATATACTATAAATAATATGTAATTAATGCTGATCAGTTTTGACCAAAAATAGACTTACTATTTTTTATAAATGTTAATTCTTATTATATATATATAGATTTCATTGAAATTCAACATGCCTTATTGGTCAAAGGTTATTTACACCGTTTTTACTCCAAAAGGTCGTCTCAAACAATTCCCTCGCCCCAAAACCCTCACTTCTCTACTGCACTCTCCCTCTCCTCAACGCACCGATCTGAGTTCTATCTTTCTCACAGAACCTCCGATCTAAGTTCGCATTTGGTATAGTTATAGTTACGCTGCTTCTCTTTTTTAATTCAGACTTGTGTGTTATTTGCATATCTCGATGTGTTGATTGCTCGTCTCTGTGTAGAGTTCAAGGGAAGTGTTTAACGATGGCGTTGAAGGTGCTGAATCCGAACGCCGAGGTGCTGAACAAGTCTCATGCACTTCACATGAACATTAACGCCGCAAAGGGCCTCCATGATGTGCTCAAATCCAATCTCGGGCCCAAGGGAACTATTAAAATGTGTTCATCTTACTTAATGTTACTTTTTTTGTTCTTTTCATTGAAAAAGTTAATATATTTCCATTTTCCTTTTGGATTTGTGGATTTATAATTTGAAAATGGTATTCTCAGGCTTGTTGGTGGAGCTGGCGATATTAAGCTCACCAAGGATGGCAACACGCTCCTCAAAGAGATGGTGCGTTCTTCAGCTTTCTATTCATATTGTTCATGGTTTTCTTTTATTCTTGTCGTTTAGAAAAGAGTGTCCAGTCATTCATGCTAACATTGTTATTTGAGGATTACTGGTTTACATGACCCTGTGATATAGTTTATCAATCCTTTTTTTTTTTTAATCTGGCATCTGTTGTGATTTCTGGCTGTATTTGGACATTGAGGACTAGTATGTTATTCTCTACTAGTATAAGGATGGAGGATTTCGATAGTCTGGGGTTGGAACCAAACATAGTTATGAACATGATAAGTGATGGAATCCATGCCTATCACCCAGACAGTAAGCACTAAAAGGGGATAGCCTGACCGTGGTACTTGTCAAATAGAAACCATGCCATGTACCTACATTTTCTTGGAATGATCTCGATTAATAATAATTATTATGGAAAAATTAAACATATCGAACTCCTGTATGACCTCACAAACTGTGAAAACCCTTTACCTTACCAGGGGCGCCTTTTCATTACTGACATTACCGATAATGTATTTCGAATGAAAAAAAAAAAAATGGTCTAAATAGGTGTAATGTTCCAAATAAATTTCAATGTGATCAATCTCTTACATTTTCATTTCGTGGATGTTTCATAGATTTTCTTTCTGTATTATTCTTGTTACTTAAAGGGATCTGAAGGTTTAGCTTTATCATGTGTATTGGGCACCTGCTGCCCCCCATTTTATCTAATTTGCTAATAACATGAGGATGTTAATGTATGTCATCATCCTCACAAAACATACCTTTTTGGATAATAACAGCAAATACAAAGTCCTACAGCCATAATGATAGCACGCACTGCTGTTGCTCAAGATGATACTAGTGGAGACGGTACTACTTCTACTCTCATCTTTATTGGTGAGCTTATGAAGCAATCAGAGCGGTACATTGATGAAGGTCAGCTGTAGTGTTAAATATATGTATTCATTGATAAAGCATTGTGTGCTTTACTAGTACGACACCCGTGTACTACACGGTTTGTTTGAAAAAAAAATATAAAACATAAAATAATAGAAAAAACATTTGTTGTTGTATAACTTTTTCAACTCCTTAAAATATATTAGAAAGGTCATGTAATATTCTATAATTATTATTTATATAGATATTCTAAAAAGATTTAAATAATTTATTTATGGTTGGATTGAAAAGATATAATATGCAAGTGACTATATAATTTTTGTAAAATTATAGTATTTTTTTTTTAGATTTAAACTATATAAAAAAGTTATTGTTTACATTAATTATATAAATAAAATAATATGTAAAGCTAATTTTTTTATTTTGGTTTACACGATATATAAGATAAGAATCCTAAGATGTAATGTTGTTTGGAGTTGGAGGATTTACACGGCATATAAGAATCCTATTTTTATTTGGGAAGCTTTATAAGATAAGTCTATTTGGGAGTTGATGGATCTGATTAAGAAAAAATCCTATTTATTAAGTATTTTATTTAAACAATTAAGGAATGTGTCCGAATCAAAAGCCGAAGCATATAATGTTGCCAAATAAGCTTCCGAAGCGTGCAAGACAGCCATTTAGGCTCAGCACGTTTTCAAATTATATTAAGAAGGGATTTATAAATTATAATTAATAATTTTTTGGTATTTACAGTTTGTTTTTCATATATTTAGGCCACAAAATGAAGTGTATGAGTCTGGATGTGTTTGAAATAATAGCCATTGCACATGTTTGAAATAATTGCAATTGAATGATTGTTGTGAGTTTCTAGGACGTGTTTGAAATGATTGTCATTGCATATGTTTGAAATAATTGCAATTGAATATTGTTGTGAGTTTTGGCAGCCTTAAAACTCAAGTGTTCCTACTTGCAGGAATGCATCCACGTGTTCTAGTAGATGGATTTGAAATCGCTAAAAGAGCAACACTCCAGTTTCTTGAGAAATTCAAGACTCCTGTAGTAATGGGTGATGAACCTGATAAAGAGATATTGAAGATGGTGGCAAGAACAACATTGCGGACAAAGGTTTTTTTGTGCACTTATTTATCAGACTTATATCTACGTCAATTAGTTTTTTCTTTTCCTTTTCTCATATTCATGTTGTTACTGGTCATATGCAGTTATATGAGGCATTGGCAGATCAGTTAACTGATATTGTTGTAAATTCTGTAAGTGCCTTAGTTCAGTGTAAAATTTGGAGGTGGAACTGGAATTTATAAAACTTTTGTTGTGGCTTCTGTTGTTACAAAGCATGGTTATGATGCTGCAGGTTCTCTGCATCCGCAAACCGGAGGAGCCAATTGATCTTTTCATGGTTGAGATAATGCACATGCGCCACAAGTTTGATGTTGACACTCGCCTGGTATCTTAATATGATTACTCCTGAACTAACCTTAGATTGTTTTATTTAATTATTTAAAGTTTGTTTCTGATCCTCGGAAAAGCTATTTTTATTTTACAATATTGAAATTTTTTGTGTACATAATCAATGGTATGTTTTTGTTAGTTTTTGTGCATCTACTTGTATTGTTATCAATTACCATCAATTTCATTAATGATGTAGGGTGTTTTTTTTCTTTTAGTTGATGCACCATACTCATTGCCTAGCTGTTGTAAATTGTAATTAGGTTGAGGGTCTTGTTCTTGATCATGGTTCAAGGCATCCAGATATGAAGCGGCGAGCGGAAAATTGTTACATTTTGACTTGTAATGTGTCATTAGAGTACGAGAAAAGGTAAGGAACTGTGAATTGTTGTAACGACGTGTGGTCTTCATGAGCTATAGAACTGATGTTATTTTCTGCAGTGAAATAAATGCAGGATTCTTTTACTCAAATGCAGAACAAAGGGAGGCAATGGTTGCAGCAGAAAGAAGATCAGTTGATGAAAGAGTTCAGAAGATTGTTGATTTGAAGAATAAGGTGTTGCAATCGAGCATTCTTATGTGAAGACATAGTTTACATGCTCGTCGAATATAACAATTATCTGTGTTATTTCAGGTGTGTGCAGGTACCGATAGCAATTTCGTTGTCATCAATCAGAAAGGAATTGATCCTCCCTCATTAGATATCCTTGCTCGAGCTGGAGTAAGTTCATTACCTTGCAGTTACCCCCACTGGAGATTACTTATGCAAACTTAAGTAATTTACTGCTTCATACACGTTGCTGTTAGTTAACAATTCTGGGTTCTAGTGCCTTTTTACCGTTGTCCTTCTCTTCACATTTTGTCTTCCAGTTATTTGTTAATGATATCCCAAAGTACATATGATCTGCATGTGAGTTAGTTGAAGATTTACATCCTGCTACTTCCCTCCCAGAGGAAGAGAAAGGGGGGAAAATTTTTCCAGTTTACATTCTTAGGGTGCTGTATACTATAATGGAACATCTTGTTCCTTGATTATTTTCATACTTGATCTAAAAGAGAGTTTATATCATGACAACTTTTTTTTTTTTTTTTGGTTGCAATTATTAGTTTTTGAAGATGTTGACGACTTATTTGTGCTCGTGGAAGTGGCATGATATTGTTTGCTTAATGTAGTGGAAGACTATCTGTTTGGCTTTAACTAAATTGTTATTTTTCTAGTCACTGTTTGGAAACAGTCTTTCATAATTATCGCAAAAGAATTGATGTTCTTTATGACCTTTGTTCTCTGAAATTCTTATTTATGCAGCTGTTAGTTGTATCTGGATTGATGAACTCACAGCTATGTATATTTTTAAAGAAATTGGTATCCTACTCCAATATTTACTTTCAGATGTTTGATTTAATAATAATTTGCAGATAATTGCTCTACGAAGGGCAAAGAGGAGAAACATGGAGAGGCTGGTTTTGGCTTGTGGTGGAGAGGCTGTTAATTCAGTTGATGACCTAACCACCGACTGCCTTGGTTGGGCTGGATTAGTCTATGAGCATGTACTTGGAGAAGAAAAATATACTTTTGTCGAAAATGTTAAAAATCCTCACTCCTGCACTATCCTCGTCAAAGGTATTCTTAGCCACTTGTTTGACTGTGTTACATGTCATGAGTTGTGCGTACATAAAGCAGTATACTTGCTGGTCGGTGGTCTGCTTTGTTGTGTTGATTGTTGCATGGAGCACTACAGCTTTTCTAGTGGACCATCTGCTTGTTGATATTGGCTATCTTTCGCTAACCCAAGCTGCAAATTTGGTGTAGGACCAAATGATCATACAATTGCTCAGATTAAGGATGCTGTTCGTGATGGCTTGAGGGCAGTGAAAAATACAATTGAAGATGAATCTGTAGTGCTTGTGAGATACGCAAACTATTTTTCCTCAGGGATAACTGGTTGTATAAATTATATTGCTACCTGAAACTACTGTTTCGTCATGCTTACCGAAGTATGAACTGACAATTTTGTGTTTTAGTTCAAGTTCCTTAATTCCTAATATGCTTGAAATGTCACATACTTTTCGTGTGGTTCTGTTCTCTTTTACTAACCTTGCATATAATTATTTTATTGCTCTCCTATTTATTAGTTTATTGACCGGTTATCTTGTACATGAGGTTCTTCACTTAATTGGATACACAAAAAGAACAAATACTCAGCTCTTTTACAGTTTTACTGCAATGGCTCTCCTTTAATCACATTTTTTTAGCCTATTCTTATTCCATGCGTGCTTATGCAATGGACTTCTGAGAACTGGTGCAGTTATTGTTTAGGTCTTGAGTATTTAACTATTGACTTGTGAGTAGAAATATTTCTAACTGAAACCTTTTTCTTTATATCACAGGGTGCAGGGGCTTTTGAGGTGGCAGCCAGGCAATACCTAGTTAACGAAGTGAAGAAAACTGTTAAAGGGGTATCGTACTTGTGTTTTTTATCTGTAAAAAATGACCTCTTTATGTGCAACTCATTATTATTATTATTATTATTATTATTATTATTATTATGGAACGTGTAAAGCATGCAGTTTTTGTATTCTTGTTTGTTTTGGAATAAGATGTTTAAAAATGCCTGTATTTGGTGTGATGTTGGTGAATTTGATTAGCGTGCTCAACTTGGCGTGGAAGCTTTTGCTGATGCACTTCTTGTGGTGCCTAAGACGCTTGCTGAGAACTCTGGCCTGGACACTCAAGATGTTATTATTGATCTTACGGTACATTCAACTATTAAATTTCCTAATCCCTGGTCTGTATGTCATTCTATCTATGTCCTGTAAGACTTGATCCATTTTTCCAGGGAGAACATGATAAGGGCAATGTGGTCGGACTTAATCTGCACACTGGGGAAGCAATTGATCCACAAATGGAGGGTATCTTTGATAATTATTCGGTTAAGCGTCAGATTATAAACTCTGGGTATGTTACAAGAGCCTTTCTTCCCTTCACATTGTTAGTTTGCCTAATTTCGTGCTTGAAAAAGTAATTGTGCTTGTCTATTTCACTCCTTTTGTCTATTATCCTTACGTGAGAATCTTGGATCTCTCTCTCCCTTNTTAATTTTGGCTGTTGGGGACCTGGTGGCGGTTTCTTAGTCATCAGAAAAGCTGAAATGTTAAGATTGCGTCCATGTAAACTTTTGCTGTATTACTGCATGATTGTCTCCTTTTAACCTCTCTGTTTTTTTCTTTTTTTTTTTAAAAAAAAAATTATGATTATTATTTTTTCCAGTACAATTATTGGTCCCCCAACTTTGCTGTAAAAATCAGTGCGTAAATAGATAATTTCATAATTATGATTTTTGTTCGGTTGTGAGCTTGCAATTAAAAAGATGGGCAATATTTATAGGTATGAACTTACGATTAAATTAGAATGATATCTTGATGATTTGTATTATTTTCAAAATATATCAGAATGTGAATGATATTGGATACCATATTGGGTTGACTAGACTCGAGGAATAGCCTGATAAAATTGGGTGAGCTGGCAGTTCGAACAGAGATCGAACGCGTTACAGGTGAAAAATCCTCAGGTCGATGAGGACGTTGTGGGTCCACGGAGCATCGACATGTCGATTAGGGTCCTCAGATGGTCTGGTTGTAACTCGACCAAAAGTTGAAGCTTGACCAGAAGGCATAGGCATGATCGGTCGCACGATTAGGCTGTCTAGTAAGACTAATGGATTAGAAAAAATATTATTACGATTAGACCAACAAGTAGATAGGGCCACGTGGCCTAACAAAATTGGTAATTCGGACAGTTTGGACAGTCTTGGACAACAAAGGAACACATCCCTATATAAGGGAGTGAGATATGCTCATAACAACATTACATTATATGCACTTATAGAGTTTACATACCCTACCATTGTTCATCATATACGTTCACACGTTTTGATTTAAGCATCGAAATCTCTACGAAAGCTCTGATGAAGATCATGTATCTTGATACCTTGGTTTGTGTCGAAAGGCGCGCTAACGGCCTTCCTTCTTCACGATAGATTGTGTAGAAGGGCGCATTATCGGTCTTCCTTCTACACGATTTGCAAAAACAATGCACTAACGACCTTTGTTTAACATAAGAGAGTTGTGCTCGAAAGAGCTTTTCTTAATTCTTCATTCATAATCCAAAAATCAACCAACACAATGAGCATTTAAAGGAAAAACAAAGACTAATCCTAAGAGAAATTAACTTCTAAACTTATGGAAAGTAAATAACTAGGATCTTTATCTAGAATCCTAAAGATACCTAAATTAATCAACACCTAAATAGACTAGGGATAATACTAGGAAATATAAGCAAATAAGCCTTCTAAAATCATCCAATATCATCGAGATTCTCGGCCATCTTCTAGAAGGATCTCGGTCAGCTTGCTCCTTAAGTCACGTCAGCCCCACTCGCGTCCCAAGCTTCTCGCGCCCGTCTCCATGGCCATGTGCGTGTCGTTTTGCACCTTCGCTCGGTCTTCTCAAGTTGTCTCGGCCCTCGACCCTTTGTGTCCTTTGTAGTGCTCTGTTCGATTATTAAGAACCGATTTATTTTATTCTTGTGTTTGCTTTCTTATTGCTTGTTTTGTGAGCTCGACTAAAAATCTTTTAAACTCAATAAGATTAGTTTGGTGTCCTCATCTAATTAACCCTTTACGCTAATTATAAATGGTAGATGTCCTCATCTACTTAAATAATTAATTCCTTTCTAAGTAAAAATTGTTCAAAATTGCAAGTTCAAGTGCAAGCCAGCTATTTTCTTAACTCTTTCCCAAGCAAGACCAAGTTGTGTTCGGTCCTTTTCCAAGTTAAAAGATGCGGCCCTTTTGAGCAAAAAAAATCGGCCCCTCTTGCTCAAATTTTGGCTCCATTTTGTTATTTAAAATTCAAACACCTCAAGAGCCAAGAACGGTTAGATCTCATCCTCCACACCTTCTTTTTTGCTCGACCAATCAGCCCCAAAAGAGTCGCCCCAAATCAGCATCCATAAGGCATGACTTGATCCCTTCTCTCATTATTTTTCCTCTTCTCCAAGTCACATTTTATATCAAAATTTCCTCCTCTCTTTCAGCCTTAGCAGCATCAACAACATCCCTCAAGATCTTTCTCAAATCTCCCTTGCAAGAAAACCCCTTCCCCTCACCTTGCACTGCCTTCATTTCGCCGGTGTTCAAGCAACCGAGGGACTCGAGCCCGCACGCGACCCCGCAAGCGCGTGAGCACGCACGACCGTGGAGAATCGAGAACATCAGCCTTGACGCGGGTGACCTCCGTCCACGTCGAGCCATCCATCTGCGAGTGAGTAGCCTCCAGCGAGTGGCCGGGCGCAGCCACGCCTTGCCGAGGAGACTCCGCCCGCGAGCACGAGGAATAGCCGAGAAGAAATTCGAGGGCAGCCGTGTCCAACTTCGACCGAGCACTCAATCTGATCCCTCTTTTTCTTTATGTAATTTCCTGAAGAGAGGTATAAATTCTAAGAATTCTTGTAATTAAATCTTTCCCAAGATTTATGTGCTTAGATCTAAAGGAAAATGAGAAAATTTGGCTTAAGGTTTTTATACGAAAGATATGAGATGTGGAACTCTCAATTGATGCCTTATATTTTAGCCGTGAGCCTTTGAAATTTTGAAGCCTTGTCTTGTGTGAAATCGAGTCTTAAGTCGTGTTATTGTTCAACCTTAAAGTCTTATGAAATTGTGTTTTGGTGTATGAAACTTGAACCTCATGCCTATAAAAAAAATTGGAATTTTTGTGTGTTACTTGAGCCTTTTGAAAACCATGTTTGAAAGCCTCTTTTGTGTGGTATATGAACCTTTGTTGTGCCATGAAACACTGGGATCCGTACCTAGCCGTGAGCCGCGCCGCGTCGGGAAGTCGTGGCCCGGGAGTCGTGTTGTAACGGGCGACCAGCAGCCCATGCGGGCGCAGTCGAGCGCTGGCCTAGCAGGCGCCTCGTGCTCAGGTGTGCAACGCGTAGCGTGTCGCGAGTCGCACCTAGTCGCCTAGCGCTGTGCCGCTGCTGCTGCCGTTCGAGTACACTCGTGCACCATTCCCCGAGAGGACGGACAGATTGCGAAGTTTCTAGTTTCTCATCTCCTCGCGAGCGTCCTAGCGAGCGCAAGCGCGAGTGCTCGCAGATTTCTCCCGTGGCAGCGTTCAGCCCCCGATCCCAGCGACCCGTGACTCGTCCCAGCAACCCGCAGCACACCTAGTGACCAGGCGTGCACCAGGGCCGAGCCGCAGCGTGTTGGACAGCTTCGAGCAGGGCGCGCCCAGATGATCCGTTCCAGCAGCGGTCAGCCTGAGCCAGCGCCCAGCCGCACCAAACAGCGGTCATACCCGAGCACCCAGCCAGCACCGAGCTGCGTTCCCCGAGCCATTTTGAGCCTTGAACTTATTTTTTATGCGAACTTTAATTTTTAATTCTGAGAGCCTGTTTATGAACTCTAAAATCACTTTAGCCGAGAGTTTCAAAATTAAGATAATTTTCACGATCTTAGGCTGAGAAAATTTATTCAAGTTGGTAAATTATTTTCCAAGAAAAGTTAAGTTATTTATAAAAGCTATTGTAACACCCCGCCTACTTATTCTAGTCTTTTAAAAATCAGAGTTAAATTTTTACTTTTTATCGAAAAACGCTAACTTTATTTTCGAAAATATCATAATTGTCTTGCGGGATGTTACTAAACTTACTATTCTTATCTCTTTTTCTCATCAGACAAATAAATGAATACATGCCACCTAATTGAATCCATTTAAATAAGGTACCATAGAGATAAAGACATTACACATGCATAAGTCTGAAGTTCTCATACTGGTCTAAATATGCGGAAGCTAAAACATATAAACTACGTGCATAGTAAATAATACATGTTCATAATACATGACATGAAATGCGTGTCAAAATATCCACTGAGCTCATGACCACGGCTGCCACGAGTTCTCACGCGCCATGCCAGACTCCGTCACCTAAAAAAATTAGTGGGCAAAACCACGCCAGACTCCGTCACCTGAAATGAACTGAACTGAATTGAAATGTTTGCTAACTCCCGGCGACTGTGCTGGTAAATCATGTGCATACCCCGATTGGAGCATTAAGGCCAGCTAAGCCTCCCTCAAGGCGATATAACTTATCTCATACGTACCTCGGACATGGTAAAAGAATTAAAGACGATATGGAACTCAGTACGTGACCCCCACCTAATATGCTGATACTGCTAGGCAAGTGCGTGATGGATGAATGGTAGCTGTCGGAGGCTCGACTCTCCTTAAGCTACATAATGTTTGAGCAGAATATTCTAAGTACTAAGCTCAAACTAAAAAACTTGAATCTTATTATTATTTAGTCTTACTAGATTCGCTCGCTGGATTTTAAAAACATTTAATCTCGATTTAGAGGATTACGAGCTAATCTGAGAAATTCTTGTCATGAGGCTTTCTAGAGTTATCTGAAATATGTCTAATTCTGAACTTGGTTATTTGATTTTATCTGAATTGGCTAGGATTAGAAAATACTAAGTCCGGAGCTAATCTGTCGGGTTTAACTGATTCTGACTTGGTTCAGAAAAGTACTAAATCTCGATTCACGCTCAAACCGATATTCCGAACTGAAACTCTCGAATCGTCCAGACTGCCCAGACTGATTTGGCTTAGCTGGACTGGCGGCTCGATCGGAACCGACCGGTCGCTCGAATGACTATGTGAAACTCGACTCAACTGTGGTTCGGTTCAAACGCACGAACACGGCTTCGCCGATGCACGGGCTTTTATACTCGGATCTAGAAATTTATCCGGTGCTCGGAAAAAGGCCGAAGTAGAGTTCTCTACTCAACGGAAGAACCTACTAATTTTAAGCCGAAACTTTAACCTTAAGTTCAATATGATTTATCAAGATTTTACATCTAACAACTACAGCTAAATCTCAACCGGGTCAATTTCTAAAAATACCGCTAAATGAGGCTAATGTCCCGAACACTATAACAAACGACATCCAAAATTTATGAAATTTTAATCAACTCATCCTCAGCATATATATGATTTATGATAAAAATATCACAGCAATTCAAAGCCTCCAACTCATTTCACAAAAATCTCGTATTTCGGCTCTGGATTCATAAATCTGATTCACAT